GATGAATAATTTTTAATAATTATTGATTATCTGAACTGAACATTATGTGCATGATATCAAATGATTTGATTATGAATTTAGATTCAGTTTATATGGATGTTCGATGCATTAGATATGCTTACTCAGCTTCAACGCTGAGCGTGTAGTATGTTTTATTTGCTACACGCAGGTTAATGAAGTGACGTGATCCTGGAGGCAGACGGAGGCGAGATTGTCGGAATGGATGTGATGGTTTTGAATTAAAGAACATAAATGAATTATGTTTGTGATTATGATTGTTAAGCTTCCGCAATATTGAAAACTCCGTACTGTTTATATTATGAAAAATATTATTATGATAAATAAAAGTGTTTGAAATGTTTTAAATTTTTACGATTACCAAGTTAATACTTTAGTCCGAAAGGGGCTGCAGACCTGGACGGATTAGGGTGTTACAGCAACAGCAGAACCAACCTAAGCCAGCGGGACAGCCACCAGTTGTACCACCGCCAGTCGTACCACCTCCAGTGATGCCACCGTTGGTGATGCCGCAGGTGGCCTACGAGCAGATGTTCCCGGCCATGATGGCCCATTATATGCAGCACATGGCGCAGCTTATGCCCATGTTCCAGCCACTGCCACCACCACAGCCGCAGCCGCGCATCGTTACCTTCAAGACATTGAATGATAATGGAGCGGAAGAGTTTCGAGGAGACAGGATGGGGGAGCCCCAGATTGCATTGGATTGGCTTGAGCAGATGGACCGGGTACTCAAGAATTTGAGAGTCCCTGATGCTGATCGCTCGGAGTTGGCTTCACAGATGTTCCGGAAGGGAGCATATGATTGGTGGAAGCGCATTGACCAGGATCCACACACGCCCAAGCCATGGACCTTGGATCGCTTTGATCGAGCGTTCACGAAGGAGTACGTCCCCACCCGGTACTGCTAGGAGAGGCGCGATGAGTTCGTTGCGCTTAAGCAGGAGGGGATGTCACTGCTTGAACTGAGACAGAAGTTCGACTACCTGTCCCAGTATGCGACGAGTCTGGTCTCCACTCCGGAGGATCGTTTGAATGAGTTCGTCAAGAAGCTACGGCCGGACTTGACACCGTACGCCGCACTGATCACGATGACAGATTTTAATGCGGCGTATGATTTGATTATGAAGACGGAAAAGAGCTTGGACGATTTGCAGGCAGCCAAGAAGGAGGATCGAGTGACGAAAGACCCACGACCCGCGGCCAGCACCAGGCCGAGCGGGAAGAGTTTTGGATTTGGGGGAAAGAGGTACGAGAAGGGTTCTTCGAGTGCGCCGCCGCCTAAGAGGAGTAAGTCGAAGCCGTCTCCGTCGGCCGCCGCTAGCAACTCGATCAGAACGAGGAGCCACCCGCAGTGTGTACAGTGTGGTAGGCATCACCCGGGCGAGTGTTGGCTCGCCCAAGGCTTATGTTTGGGTTGTGGTCAGCCAGGGCATTTCAGGAGGCATTGCCCGACAAACCCTAGCAGCGAGCCTGTTTTTCCTAGAGCTCCGGATCGCATCCAGCACGGAGTCAGCAGTCTACAGCAGCAAATAATCAGCAGAGACCACGTTCGCAGCAGTCAGGCCGGGCACCAGCGCGTACCTACGCCATGCAGGGGCGCACAGATCCTAGTCCCGATGTTATCTTGGGTACGTTCATACTATTTGATTCGGTTATGCATGCCTTGATCGATCCGAGTTCTACGCTCTCCTATATCTGTGTTGGCATGCCTGCTAATTCTGCGATCGTGAGGAGTGACCTTGAGATACCTACTGTTGTATCGAATCCGCTAGGACATAGCATGCGTCTTCATCACATTTATCATAGGTGTCCGTTGTCCGTGCAAGGGAAGCAATTCCCTGCAGATTTGATAGAGCTACCACACAAGGAGTTTGACATTATCCTTGGTATGGATTGGCTCACCGAGCATAGAGCAGTGGTCGACTGCAGTTGTCGGACCGTACGGCTGAGAGCCGAGGACGGTAGCGACGTATCACTCTCCGGGGAGGTGTTCCCCAAGGCTCCCGAGTTCATATCGTCCTTGAGCGCGAGGCGCTTGATTCGCAAGAAGTGCGAGATGTTCCTGTGTCACGTTCAGGATATGCGAAAAGAATCACCACGTCAGCAGGACATCCGTACGGTTTGCGACTTCC